TTTTTTTTTTTGAGACAGAGCCTCACTCTGTTGCCCAGGCTGGAGCGCAGTAGCATGATCTTGGCTCACTGCAACCTCTGCCTCTCAGGTTTAAGAGATTACTGTGCCTCAGCCTCCTGAATAGCTGGGATTACAGGCGTGTGCCACCACGCTCAGCCAATTTTTGTATTTTTAGTAGAGATGAGGTTTCACTATGTTGGCCAGACTGGTTTCAAACTCCTGGCCTCAAGCAATCCACCCAGCTCAGACTCCCAAAGTACTGGGATTACAGGCGTGAGCCACCATGCCCAGCCTTCTATTTCATTTTCTAATTTAAAGTTGTAGTAGCAACCCCTAAATTAATTTCATAACACACTAAGTCTTGAACCAGTTTGAACCCCAGCCCTGGAGTCATACTCTTGGGCTCTCTCCCCAACCCTCACTCACTGTCCCCGAGAGGCCTGTTTTATTTGGATGGGGATTTTAGAAGGCAGGAGGCATGCTCAAACCTCACTCACTGTCCCCCAGAGGCCTGTTTTATTTGGACGGGGATTTTAGAAGGCAGGAGGCATGCTCAAACTGGCTGCTTCTGAGCTGCCCTCCCAGCCCTGCCCATCTGCAGAGAGTAGGTGAGGATGCTCCCTGCTTCCTGGGCTGGGGCCTGGCTCTGTAGAGTCAGCAGGTGACATTGTTCTCTCCGTTTGGCTGCCTCCTGCATCTTCTCAGTTGGTTCTATCCCTGGAGATAAGCGGTATTTATTATTCTGTTAGGTTCCAATGTTTAGCAATGTTAAATAGTTCCAGCAAGATAAGGGCTAAAGGTATTCCCAATGGATTTTCCAACAAGGGATTTGTTGGAGACACAGGTGAAAACAGTTTCACTGGGTGCATGGGGCAAGGCATAGGAAGTGCACATTATTCAGGCGTGGGGCTGAAATGGACAAGAACAAGAGGTAATAACCAGAGAAGTCAGTTTTCTGAAGTGGGAGAAATCTGAGTATATGTGTGTGGGTTGCTAGAAAACACCAGGAGGTGGGGTGGGGGTAAGGAGTGAGAAGGGGTAGGGGGCAAATTGATTTCTAAGACAGTCCTCCCTGGTCCTACAAAATGGCATGGAGTGGCTTACAATAAAACCACATTCTGAAAGCAGTGTCAGTACGCACCCCAGGGGCAACCATTAACCGTCGGGAAACTGCAGCCAGTGAGTAATTGTTCCAACCTCTCTTCCTTCCCAGAGGCATTCAGCGCCCTGAGAGGCCTCAGTGCCCTGAGAGGCCCCAATGGGATTCGGCCCAGAGGGTCCACAGCAGAGTCCTTGACGCTGTACCCTGACACTGGCCTCCTTTCCTTCTTCCCTGTCCTACTCTGCTGCTTCCAGACATCACTTCCCAAATAAACTACATCCATAGTCCTCCAAAAGTGTTAATACAGAAATACGGATGTAGCTAAAACATCACTATCTGGGAGGAGAGGAGCATACATATGTAGCCAAAGGGAAAGGGGTTCAAATCAGAAGGAATAGGGGCTGGGACCCAGAGCGAGGGGTACAGAGGAATCAGGAACTAAAAGGTGAAAAGTTGAGACAATATAAAGGAAAAGAGGTAACCCTGCTGGGCCCTGACAGCCACAGGCGGTCTCTCGACCCACGTACCCTACATGGTGTCACCCCTTCGG